CAAGGGATTTTTTTGTGGTTGAGAGGGTTTTGTTACAGGGGGAATTGTTAGGGGTAAATGATGGGAGTTTGGATTGAATGATTAATGAAAAGGTCAGTCATGGTGTTAACAGAATGAACAGACCAGCTAGGAAAGCCCACACAGAGTGAATGTGTATGTGCAAATATGTCCTAAATATTTAGTCAGTGTCAGTCCCTCTTTCATGTCAGTTTTGTGTGGATTTTTTCCAGGATCTCTTAATTTTGTGGCATTACTATCAATATGTGGTATTATTGTTATCAACATGGTAGCATTATTAGGACTATGGTATTATTATTACAGAGTAATATTTCAACAGGTGATATTTTCTAAACCATTTACAGTCCAAGACAGGAAAATATGCAGCTAATCAATATGCTTCCTGCAAACCAGCTACTCTAAGCTTCCTTCTCTGAAGCCAGAATGGGGGTGAAACATGTCTTCCAAATGAGGATGCTCTTCACTTGATTCCTGATTTTATTTACATCGTGTATGCATTCCTTTTTTATGCATATAAAAGGCAGGACAGGAGAAAGCCCTGTAATTTGTCAGGTGAGAGAATAAAATACCATTAGGCTACAAAGCCCAGCTTTGCAGAAATTGAGCTTTGTGTCACTACAAAAACATCAGGTTTAACATCAGTTAGAATGTTCATCCACAAGCAACATTGCTCAATTTACCTTGTTTTGATCATATCACATCATTTGCCAAGCTTATCTAGTGAATGAAACAAGTGGTTGACAGAAGGTCTTGCCCAAGCAGAAAATTAACTGTAGTCCAATGAAGCCAATTATCAGGGAACATGTGTAAGTTACTGGATATAAGCTTAAAGCAAAATAAATTATCTACATTTTTTTTCTTGTGTGGTGACCTTACAGAGGTCACATATCAAACTCAAATTAAGAGTTATGGTGTTTTTTAAACTCACAAATCATTGCACACATAGACATAAATAAATAAAAATAAACTTCAGAAACAATACTGCAATGACTAAGCACTCTAGATTATGTGTTTTTTATACTTCAAAATTCAAAAAAAAGTGTTTGTTGGAGAGAAAGTCAGCAGTGTGGATGGAATAGGCCTATATGGGGTTTTTTGAGCAGTCAAAAGTTACAGGTCAATTTCGTTTTGAACCCTCAAGAAAGCTATTTTACTGAATTTGGTGCCATTTGATTTAACTGGCTATGATTTACTCTTCAGCTATTTTCTCATTCCTAGATGTCAATATGTGGCTGAGTGACCCAGTGTAATGCAATATGTAACTTTAATTTTTTTTTTTTTCAGTTTACCTCACTTGTGAGTGTTTGCTTGCTGTATTTTATCCTGAGGTATTTAAAAGTCATCAGAAGAGGGGTTGAAAAGCACCTGGATTTCTCTGGGGTTGGAGTTATGTCCACCCAGTCCCTTACAGAGCTCAGACAAGACCCGCAGCTCCTTTCATGCCACTACCATTGGCCGTAGGAATTAAGACCGTCACCATCCTGACTTCTCAAAGCTCATGGGTTTTCTCTGCTCTCCCAAAAAAAGTCTTAAGGTTTCCTGTCCAGGATACATGTTGCCAAATCCAGGGATCAAAACTACGGTGGACCCATTTTGCTTTCTGCTCATTTTGGGGTAGGCCTCACACCATCCACAGTGTAGATCAGATTGACAATCTCTGTCCACTATGGATGGCAGCAGGGCCACCCGGGGACTATATCAGCAGCTTGAAGGTTTCTGGGAAGAAGTATCTCTGCAGGGAGCAAGCATGATGAGGCAAAGGCAGCGATGAGCTCTCCCCTGGAGGTCCACACATTGCTGCTGTGGGTGACGCTGCTGAGCCGGGGGGAGCAGCCACAGGGCAGAGTGGTGCTCTACATGTATTTACATTTCTCATGCCAGAGTTCTTATTGGCCATGAATCACTTTTCAGTGGTTTGGCCTACTGAAAGAAATCAAAGGTCCTCATTTTTTCCAGGGCAGGATGCCTTTTAACATAAGTACAGCTGTTGCAGATTCCTGTTTGGTTTATACAACAAGCTGTACCCTTAAATGTACTGAGGACGGAAAGTATAGAAATTCAAGAAGTCCCTAGCAAAAACCAAAATTCTTCTTCCTTGTTCCTCAGTGTGTACTCAAGAAATAAATGGGACACAGTTTTGGGAAGAGAACAAATGTTATAGCCACCTGCCTTCTTTGGTGAAGAAAGATGCTCCCTTCTCAGCAGTGCAGGCTAGTACAGTTTGTCCCCCACAAACCCTCTCTGAAGCAATCAATTTCACTCTAGTATCAGTCCTGTGAACAAGAGCAAGTTATCAGGGTAGCATAGATTGGTCTGGGTTGGAAGAGACCTTAAAGATCATTTTCTTCAGCCCAGCCATTATGGGCAGGAACACTTTCCACTAGACCAGGCTGCACCATGTTCCATCCAACCTGTCCTTGAACAATTCCAAGCATGAGGTACCCACAGTTTTTCTGGGCACCCTCTTCCAGTGCCTCACCTCTCTACAGTATGCATCTGTTAGCTCATACAGGCAACATGAAATCCACACTCTTTACCCGTACAATTCATAGATGTTAGAGCTACAATTATGCTAATTAGATATGATTTTAGAAGAGATTTTCAGATAAAACAAGGCAGGCAATTTCACCTTTAACCTGATATATCTACCCTAATACTTATAATTGAACAGGTTGCAATGTGTATTTGTTAGAAAATAAGCTGTAACAAAAAGCTTTAGTAGAAAGTAATCCACTTTCCCTGCTCCTTTTTAGTGGACTGAGGGTAGGCATTTTCCATCTGAATTTGACCATTGTTTAATTTAATCGGATAGGTTTCTCTCTTTTCTGGATTAATCATTATTTGCCTCTCTATCATTTCATTTAAGACCAGGTTTGTGCAAATGGAAACTGGTGACTCAGAAGGATAGTTCTGTGACTTCTCTTTTGACTCTGCAGAAAACATCACGACAGCTTTTCCAGAGAGTTCCCTGAAAATACAGAGTGTACTAACTCAGTGTCCTGCTAGGTGTGGCTGGGCTTTATTGCTCTGTGTGCCTATGTATCTTTCTGCCTGCCTCTGAACCAAGCTTATTTATGTAAGGCTACTTGTGCAAATGAAAATGCTGTTGTTCCAAAGAACACAGGCAAGCAGTCAAACAGCGTATTGAGTTTCTAGCTGGCCTCGGTGCTTTGTACAAAGAGTCCCCAGCTTGTGAGTGCGCAACATGTTGGGAAGCAGAGACAGAGTCTGTCATCAAAAAGATTTTGCATAATTTGGAGTCTCAATTACAAGAAACGCCCAAAAAGGTGTATTTGCGGTATATGTATCTTTGTATTAAGAATTTCTGCTGTCAGTACTCTAAATAATTAACATTTGAAAACAGAAGTCTAAAGGACGAACACAGCAATAATAAACAGAGAGGAAGCAGTGCCCTGAAGCGTTGTGAAGTAACAGAGTGGGAGACACACGCAATGAAACATCTACAATGCTCAAAACCACCATGTGTTGCTTTGCTAAGAACTCTAGCTGTGCCACTTAACTGTGCTGAGTATTAGTCATGAAGCAAGCCACCCTCCTGGGAGGGAATTGGAGTTAATGATCCTGCCTTTAAAGAGGCTTCATAGTGCAGGAACCCGCTCCAACCACAAGTTTTCAGTCTTTTGCAGCAGGGGCCTTCATCTTTGTTAAGACTTCTACTGTGGTATATCCAATAAAAATAAACTTTGCAAGACTAGTTAAAAAGTGATTTCTAATGCAATTCTAGAATATTACTGCTCCACAAGCCTTGGGGTATTTATATCCCTTGATGCCTTTTGGAAACAAAAGACCTGCCCTAGTGGGTGGTAGGTCCCTCCCAGCTCACCTTCCTACATAATGGGCAAGGACACATCTGGAAACCCAGGTAGGAAGTTTTGCCAGTGCCTGCCACTCCACTGACTTGGTTCAGACTGATTCTTTTTCTCCATTAGGCAGATGTTGCTATTGTAAAGTGGCTCCAAATCTACCAGATTGGTCTGCAAGGAATGTTGGTTCTCAGCACCATTCCGAAAACGGAAGGAAGAGGCAAGTTGCTCATAAAAGGGTAAAGGACTAAGCAGTGAATGCCACTATGCCACTGTATGTTTAGCTATGATACAGCTTCATATTAGACAATGTATCTTGTTTGAAATAGCTCAGAAAAAGTCAAAGAATTGAGAAGTTCCAGGGAAAAAACAAGTGAGATTTGTGAAGATAGAGAACAGGTTTCATATGATAAAATTTTGAGCAATTTAGAACTCTTCAGACTGGAAAGGGGCAGAACTCAACTACACTCACTAAAAAAAAAAAAAAAAAAAAAACCAAAAAACCAAACCAAAAAAAAAAAAAACAAAAAAACCACCAAAAAAAAAAAAAAAAAAAAAACCCCCAAAATCCTGGCCGGGATGCCATTGGCCTACCCCAACTTCATTCACTATAGAATATTGAGTGATTTGAAGGAGATGGCTGTTTTTCATGGGCTCTTCCAAGACATTACCTCAACAACGCTGACCGAAAAAAACATGGGACCAGCACAAGAGGTGGATCTTCACAAAAACCAGTTAACTTCACAAAAACCAGTTAACTTGAATCACTCATTGCTCCAAGATATTGTAAATTATAAAAGGGGCTTTTTAAATGTAAATGATACAAGTTTGGATTTTCAAAATAACTCAATACATTGATGGGAAAAATTAATCTAGGTATACTAATAAAACAAAACAAAACAAACAATCAAACAAACAAAACCCCATCACCTAAAATTATAATAACTTAACAAGTTTTCTTGTTAAGGTCTTCCCTGCCCTTTTATCCAGACTAAAGAACTCTCATTAAAAGGTTTCTGGTCATATTTTATATGGCTATTTAAACCAGCTTTTCTGCTAGCAATATCAATGCCCTTGGAGCTAATCAGTAACCTGTCCTTTTCTGTAAAAATATTTATGACTTGCAAAATACTTAAAAACGCTAGGCAAATATTCATAAGTGAATAGAAAGAATTTTAATTTCTATGTGAAATGGTTAGTAAGATTAGCAAATCAATCTGCACGTGTAAGTGTACCTTTGCAGGTGGAGGTTCTGATCAGTGTCACACACTTATGATTGTGCAATGCTTATGAAAATTGGTTTTAAAATGCACTGGACTGGATTTCAGTCCAAACTATGCACATGGTCTAATTAATTATCTTTTGAGCATACTCAGATGAATGCCAAAAGCAAAAACAACTTCAGCCTCAAAATGAGAAGAGAATATTCCTGTGCAAGTCCTGACTTCTTAGAAAAGCAAGAGCAGCATTAAGAAGCCTATGCAGATGACGATCTGTCTGTTTTCCCTGTCCACTTCTGTCTGACCCTGATCAGGATCTTCCTGCTTGAGGTTACTCCTGAGGTCTTGTTCATGTCTTAACTATTTATGGGAATTTTTCATACATATTCCAGGTGCGGTAATGGAATAGAAAATGTATGTGTGGCTGAACTGTGATATGAAATCTCTAGTATCCAAGGAAACAGAGAAAACAAAAACACATGAGCAACTCCTTTTGTGAAAAATTAAACCAAATTATCTGTATCATTTTACTTCTCCAAGGGACTTACTATCTCACTCAGATAAGCAAGTGTAAAAATATTTTAAATGTCAAAGTAGAACTCACAGTGCAAAATATAGATCCTAGTCTCAAGCACCCTAGTTCTTAACTGGGTTTTCATACTTGGGGGTAATTTTGGCCTAATAAAATCACAAAGATGAATCACAGATAATTATTTGTCTCCAAAACCCTGGATCTTCTCTCAAGATGAGATGCTGATTGCAGACAGCTTGACACTGGACATATTTTCCCATAGCTTGCTAGTTTATGCCTGCCTGTGAAAAGAAGGATATAGTAATGAGGTGATTAAGCAAAAATTGAGATGTATCAGACAGAAAATAGTAAAACATTATCCAGTAATCTCAAAAGAATCACAAAAGGAAAATGTCCCCTCATTTATTCACTACAGTTATCTACTGTTGCCCAGAAATGAGAACTGCTGGAGTGCTTGGAAAGAATGGTTCTGTCTGGAGCTTTCCATTGCAGGAGGGCACTCACAATATGAGTGAAAAGGAGAAGAAATTTTTAGGCAAGATTTGATCTTTTGATCTGCTTTTGTATCCAGGCAAACGCCATGTAATTCTTTTCAGTTCTGTTGCTTGCTTTTAGACAGATATATCGATATAAAGCCAGTGTCGTTATCCAGAACTGCTATTTTAATGAATAACCAGGTGTGGACAAACCCTCAGGCATAAGGGCCAACATGGGGTACAGAAACTGTGTGTAAATTTCCATGCTTATTTTTTGAGCTGGGAGAAAAGGAAATGTAAGATATCCATGATAAACTGTGCAAGAGAGAGGTGTATTCCTTGGTGTAAAATGTTGTGCTTTGGTGTTTCCCCACAGCACACATCCTGAGCCTGATGGGCTGCCTGAGGGAGAGTTCACATTTGCTATGGATTTTCAGATCCAGGAGAGAGACTACAGTCTACTGGTAGTCCACATTGCCCAATTAAATAATGACTTTTTGTCATATCACTATTAGGTAAAAAGCAGAGAGGGTAGAACTGCCCAGTCCTGGGTCTAGACAGTCCCAGCCAGTCTAAATGCACACACATACCTGTGTATGCACCTATAAGCACACACTCCTCAGAAGCAGAAAGAAGACAAGCCTAAATGCATCTGGATATAAATGAAGTCTCTACAGAGGCATAAAAATTGCACTGTGTTTCAGTGGGAGGGAGGTCAAAACCCTCTAACAATGGTGCTGGAGCTGTGCACAGTCCATCTGACTGACATGCAGACCCTAAGAAAGCTGCAGGCTTACAGAGAAACCATAGCTGTGATGATCTAGCAGTCTGACCCTCTGCTTGCACATTAAAACAATTACTTTCTAGATGTCCCTGGTGTGATGAAAACCTGAGCTCTACAGAAATGTGGAAATTCAAAAGGAGATAGACTAAAAATTTGCAATTTTAATGACTTCAAAGTGATTCCAAATATTCTGGGATGGGGAGGTGTCTAACTGGTGAAGTTTTTCTGATCTGGGCTAGGTTCAACTTACTTGCAAAAGAACAAATGTGGGCTCTACACTGCATAGCCAGGACTTCCTTGGTCAGTATTAAGGCCAGCAACCAACTCCAGCAGCTGTGGACACTGACACCCTACAGCTACACCAAAAGGTGCAATTAAACAAAACAAATTAATAGTTACCCATGTAATTTGCTTAGCTTAATCACCATATCAAAGAGTCAGAAATGACCTATTGTGAAGATGCACTTTATAGCCAGTGCTGGGGCCAATTTTCCTCCTGGGTAAGCTCTGTTCTTAAAACAATAATACCCAGGGAGTGGTGTGGCTGAGAAATTCCTGTTAATGTTTACTGTTCTGCAGAGAAGAGGTTGTTAATTTCTGAGAAGAGTATCAGGTTCAACCTGGTGTGGCCAACAAGAGCTCATTCTAGAACCGACCATTCTGGCACCCGTCTCCAGATTAATGATTTCACTGAGGGGTGGCTTTCTGTGTCCCTGAGCACTTTTGACAGATATGGTAAGAGGTCTCACCTCTATTGAAGATGATTTTCCTCATTTTCAGGCTGTTTTCAATTACTTCTTGACTTTGTTCAGCTGTTCCTTTAATTTCTGTAGACAGGAGAAAGGACAAGTCAGTCAGGGGTGGTCTCAGCTATGTCATCATTTATCTGTTTATTACATCTGACAAGAAGCCAGGGAGTCAAGATTCCTTCTACATCATCCTTCTCAGCACATCTCTCCTCCCCTGTTGCCCAAGAGGTATGAGCAGAGACAGAAGCTCCATGTGAACTGGGTTGCATTACTTTCCATCCTGACATGAGCACCTTATGGGAGCTCATAGGGGATGAATGCTATTGTAGTAATGGGACTGATGCTGATTCCAGATGTTTATATATTACAGGACTGAGAAGAATAATACAACTAGCTAGAAAAATTATCAGGATATTAAAATAAAGCTTGGGCTCTTTTTAGTTGCTGTTTAATTTGTTTTTGACATTTAGAGCAGCATTTATGTTGTATTCTCCAGCTTTACCCACATCTCTGACAAGTAGAAATATGCATGTATTTTCTGCTTAAAAAAAAAAAAAAAGAAGCAAGCTACTACAAAGTAGTTAAGGCATCTATATCTACATTGTTTAGGCCCCTGCTTCATCACAGACAAGATGAAATTCAGGGTCAAAATTCTGAGAGGGATAAGAAATGCTGTTCTCACCTGACATGCCTGCAGGCCACTCTTGCAGCAGAGCATGGTCACCTGTGCTCTCACACTCCTCCTACTGTTCCTCACCTTTCCAAGTAAAAAACCAGGCACTGTAGTCTCATGAACTGAGATTATGGGCAATCCACAGACTAGAAGAGAAGCATTTATCATCTTGTATTTTATGATCACAGAATCATAGAATCAATTATATTGGAAAAGACCTTGGAGATCATCAACTCCAACCTCTGACCTAACACCATCGTATCAACTAAATCATGACACTGAGTGCCACATCCAGTCTTTTTTTCAACACCTCCAGGGATAGTGACTCCACCACCTCCCTGCACAGTCCATTCTAGTACCCAACTCCTCTTTCTACACAGAATTTTTTCTTACATCCAGTTGTTCCTCTGGCACAGCTTTAGAGACTCTCTCATCCTCTTACTGGTTGCTCAGGAGAAGAGACCAAAGCCCACTTGGGTACACCCTCCTTTCAGAGACTTTTGGAGAGTGAAAAGGTCTCCACTGAGTCTCCTTTTCTCCAGGCTAAACAACCCCAGCTCCCTCAGTCGTTCCTCACAGGGCTTGTGTTCCAAGCCCCTCACCAGCTTTGTTGCTCTCCTCTGGATGTCCTCAAGTGTCTCGACGTCCTTCCCAAACTGAGGGGCCCAGAACTGGACACAGCACTCAAGGTGCAGACTACTCAGTGCCGAGTACAGGGGGAGAACAACCTCCCTGCTGGCCACACTATTCCTGATCCTGGCCGGGATGCCATTGGCCTTCTTGGCCATGTGAGCACACGCCTGGCTCATGTTCAGCCAGCTGTCACCAGCACCCCCAGGTCCTTTTCTGCCTGGACACTGTCCAGCCACACTGTCCCCAGCCTGTAGCACTGCAGGGGGTTATTGTGGCCAAAGTGTAGGACCTGGAACTCAGTCTTGTTGAACTTCACATTGCTGGACTCAGCCCATATATCCACCCTGTCCAGGTCCCTCTGCAGAGCCCTCCTACTCTCCAGCACACATGCTCCCAGCTTGGTGGCATCTGCAAATTTGCTGATGGTGGACTCCATCCTCTCATCCAGATCACCAGTGACGATGTTAAACAGGACTGGCACTGCACAGACCCCTGGGGAACATCCCTGGTGAGCAGGGTCTGATCTCCTGGCTGTCCATTGGTGTCATTTGATCACACTGAGGATGATCCATAACCTTGCCAGGCAGTGAGGGCAGGCTGACAGGTCAGGGTATAGATCACAGCATCATAGAATATCCTGGGTTAGAAGAAACCCAGAAGAATCATCAGAGGCCAACTCTTTACCCTACACAGGACATGCGAAGAGTCATCCCATGTGCCTGAGAGTATTTTCCAAACACTTCTTGAACAGTGTCAGGTGCTGTGACAGCTTCTCTGGGGAGTCTGTTACAGTACCCAACCACCCTCTGGGTGAAGAACTTTTCCTGATACCCAGTCTAAAACTGTCCTGACACAGCTTCATGCCATTCCCTTGGGTCCTGTCACTGTCACCACAGAGTGATGTGACAGTGCCTGCCCCTCCTCTTCCCCTCACAGGGAAGTTGTAGCTGCAGTGAGGTCTCCCCTCAGTCTCCTCTTCTCCAGCCTGAACAGACCAAGGAACCTTAGCCACTCCTCACGTGGCTTCACCCCAAGGCCCTTCACCTTCCTCATGGCCTTCTTTGGACACTCTCTAACATCTCAATGTCCTTTTTGTGTTGTGTCACCAGAACTGTCCCCAGCACTGGAGGTGAGGCTGCCCCAGAGCAGAGCAGAGCAGGACAATCCGCTCCCTTGCCTGGCTCTGATGCTGTGCCTGATGCCCCCCGGGCACGGGGCCCTCCTGTTTGCCAGGGCACTGCTGGCTCCTGTTCAACTGGCCATTCACCAGGACTCCCAGACCCTTTCTGCAGAGGTTTTTTTCCTTTCTTCTCTCTCCCCACTCTTCACTAACTACACCTTCTAGATTCTTCAGCATCCAAATGATGTTTCACAGCTGGAAAAATGTGTGGGCTGCAGACAAAAACACCCCACTGTCCAAATTGACTTGACTGCTTCTTGTATGAGCAGTGCATTGATTCTAGTTTGAAGGCTTCTTCCTAAGAAAATTAATGTCTATAGCTACAAGCTCTCTGATAAAATGTGATATGCTCAGCATCACAGGAACCAAGTTTAATTAATTAAAAGGGAGTCTGTTTTTCTTGATTTGAGAACAGCAGGAAGAGAAAAGGAGGCAGAGAGATGAAAGTGCTCCTGTCTGGCAATGAATAATGCACAGCATGAGGAAAAGGGAAGCTGAAGTGCTGGGATTATAATGTGTGAATTTTTTGAGTTGTGCAGTTATTTGCTGACCTTTTCCACCAGGAGTTCACTGCCATTACAGGACATCCAGATAGGATGTGTAGTGAGGTAAATGTGCTGTCAGACTCAGAGGACTGCATCTTCCTTATAAACATCAACCTTATATGATGCTCAATATATTTAAAGTGGTTGTGATTAAAACCACCAAGTGTAAAGCTACCACACATTCCACTCTATGATGTCATCTGTCCTTAAGTTTGGGGACCATACTGAGGCATATCAAGCACACCAGAAATTACATGTATAGGGAAGTCCGAAAGGATTTCACTGAAATCCATAATTTTTTAGGCTTTTGAATCACTCCGTAGTATTTTCTATGGACGTTCCCCTGCAGAAGGGAGCATCGGAGGGGACACTGATACAATGTATTGTGGTGGTCCCAGGGAGAGAAATGCTGGTTTTACTGACACTGCTGGCATTGTAAGCTGGCATTACTAAATCTGACAAAGAAGTTTGTGGGCTGAAGAGAAATGTATGTGTACTTTTCCTGCTTGACAACAAGTTATGCTGAAAGTTTTAGAGCAGTGGTGGCTGTGATGAGAAGTGCCACAGGATGGGGACTTACACAGATGCAGGGCTTGGTGCTGAGGAGAGCTAAGCAAGAGGGGCTTCCAAACCTCTGGTAATATGTGGCATCGTGGATGCAGGAGTGGCTCTTTTCAGCTGACAATTTAGGCTTGTTCAGGCAGCTTTGACAACAGAATTTATATAATGGGAAGCCTTGGCACTGCTGAGGATCACTATGAAGGCAGGAAAAGGATGCTCATTAGTGTGATAGAAAGAGAAAGAACAAGCTGTTGCTCCTCTGTGCCTGTTGTGTCCCAGGCAGGCATTCCAGCTCAGCAGCTCTGGGCTTGGCACACTGGCAGCCCATGGAACAGGGCAGAGCCTCAGAGGGATGCCAGAGACCCTCCATGGGGTGGAGAATGTGCTGTCCTCATCTCCAGGCCCAAGCCCAGGAAGGAGTCCAGCCTGGCCTAAGGGCAATAAAGAAGATAGTGCAGCTCCTTCATTATAGCATGCTTTCGGGTAAGAAACAGAAAACTCCACCTTCCCTTTTCCTCTGAACTTTAGGCTGCCCATGTGAAAGCACAGTGAGGCTGGCGGTCTCACTTAGGCACACAGCACTCCTGAGCATGTGATCTCTGTGGCACTGGAGAAAGAAGCCCACAGTGGGAAGCAACATGAAGGTCAATAATTCTTTATTTTATTACAAGAGGATGCTGCTTGTCATCCAAATCTCCCCTGTTAAATGAAAGAGCCTGCAACATCCTAATGAGTGTAAACAACGTTGAGTACACAGTGTCTGCCTCCTTTTCACCTTGAGAGCCACTGCTCTTAATTTATTTGTTAACATTTTGTGAAGAGAGCAGAAGAAAAGCACTACATAAATCCAAAATCTGTTTCTTTTAGTGCAGCAGATGTGGAAAAGTCAGCACTGGCAAGTCATGGGTGGACCTTAATTTTTTCCGATATGCCAAGGGAAAACCAGTGCTATTACTTTGCTCAGAGCTGTGGAAAAAATTTAAAAAGGCTAATAATTAAATGTCTCCTCCTGATCCTGCAGCATATCCTTCAAATATCCAGAAGATGCAAAGAGGCTGCAACCAACCCAGGGACAAAGTCCTGATCCTGAGTGCTTTTTGCCCAGGCAAATAAACATTATTGAAGTCAGCATGACTTCAGAATAAACTTTACCCTTGTACAGGAAGAGACTGACAGACAGAAGCTAAAGTTTAGATAATCTTTTGCTATCTCCCATTCAATAAAACAATATTTGTACACTAAAAGGAGAGGAAGATGAAAGGCAATATTGCATGTTCATGAAATACACAAAACAGGCTCCTAGTTGTTATACAAAAATGCAGCAACTTTAATTACACTGAATGCTTTTGACGGAATTTTAAAATCTAAAGGATTAAAAGCTTTCTGACAGCTTTCTCAGTTGTGGCTGAGTCAGCCAATAACAATGTGTTGTGTATTTGGAGAAGATAACTTTAAGCCATACTGAAAAACAGGAAGGAAGGGGTGAAAAAGACACTATTGATTTTTCACCCTGCCACAGCATGTCATAGCTCCCCTGAACAAAACTAGTAGATACAGTGGGAAAGGAATAGATATTGATACCTGTGCTCAACTTATCCAAGCTGAGTGGCTTTTACCATTAATAATTACTATTATACCCCAAGGATATAATTATCCCTGTTATCACATGGTTTAGGAAAGTTTCCATTTTTATGCTGTGAAGGATATGATGTGAAAGTGGCTTTTTAGACAGAACTTTGGTGAGGGGTTTGGTCAATTCCAAATCTCCCCCAAAATAACATGAGGACTAGGAGAAGACTGTAGGGGAGGGAAAAGGGCAGGGTGTTTTCAGACCCGCTGCATCTCTCCAGCAGTATGCTCTGCTCCAGTCCACAGTTATCCACAGGAGTGAAATTTTGTCACCCGCCACCTCCCTCAGTGCACACAAGCATGCCAAGTCCATGGCATGTGCTTGTGGTGGCATCCATAATAAATTTAGTGCCACTTTGAAAAAAAGGCATCAGAAAATCATTGTCAATAGAAGTGAGCAAAAAAGGCAAGGGAATTTGAAGCCTGAGAGTTTTTGTTAGGTCTTCTTTCTTTTATACACCACCCCCCCCACCCCCGCTACACCTCCCCTATCACTTTATAGCAATATATGCACATATTTTAAAACATGCACTTTTTTCTGTCTGTTATCAGACATTTCAACAACACTGCCAGCAACATCAGCCTGACAAGGCTAAATTGGATGAGACTATGAGGGAATTTGTCTGCTGTTACAAGCTGGAACAGCTCTGTTTAAACAAATGGACCTGTTTCAGTTCACATCTGCTGAGCCGTTTTCTTCTCTAGAAATCACCTTCTCATTTCATACCTCCCACAGTAAGTGAAATCAGGCAGGGATTTTTTGGTTTGCTCTGGGAGACCCTGCAAACAGAGGCACAACAAGAGAGAGCTCCCACTGGTAAAGATTAACCCTCAAGCCCATTGCTTTTGGTGTCACTGCGTGCTTGTGCAGGGCCCTTGTGCATGGGGCCCTGAGGCTGTTGCTCCTGAGGGGCTTGTGAGAATTAATGACTTTGTACTTGCATTTTGACAACACTAGCAAACCTTAAGCCAGGAGGCTTCAACACCCTAGGCACTGCATAAACATGGACCGGGACTCAAGTTGCAAAATAACCCTCTCTCATACCCACCATTCTGCAAAAATTATCTAGTTTTCACTGACAAGCAGTCCTCTAAGCTGTCAAACTCTGCCTCACATGTTTGGCACTCAGAATTAAAAATCTTAAATAAAACGGGCATTTTAGAAAGACAAATATATTCT